TCAGCAAACGGGGGCAGCAGGGTTGCTGGATGTGAAGCAGATTTTTGTGTTTGTGCGAGGAAAAAAAAAGATGCAGCTGTCTATATGAGTGACTCAACGCTGCTTGTCATGGGCTTTGAAGAACTGACTCTGTCATTTCTGAAGGCTTAAATTGGACATTATTATGTGAACATTCACTGAATGTGTCAGTGTGTGCTGGGCAATTGATGGTCGGTTGTTTTTAGGTTCTTGTTTTTAATCCAAATTCAGATGTTATGTCACAATGTCAGTTTGCTCTGCTGAACCTTAGCCCGCTGTTTGTACAGTGTTAGAGAGGGTAGGCTACTATAGGCTATTTTTTAAGTAACTTCTTAAGGTCCACACACTGAAAAACATAAATAACTATCTAAAAATCCCACCGTATAAATGAAACAAGAACAGGCAATCCTAACCAAACATCTATGTATGTATGTATGTATGTATGTATGTGTGTGTATATATATATATATATATATATATAGATAGAGAGAGAGAGAGAGAGAGAGAGAGAATGTATATATGTTTAACTTAGAGTAATGCACTACACTAAGTATTTGAAAAGTGAAATATTATTGTTTTGTGGCTCTGTAGTCAAGCACATTGCAACTGAAATGATGCTGCGATTATGATGGTAAAAGACTGACTTTGAGTTGAGGTATTTTACATCAATACTGGGTGAACAGTGTAGCTGTTGTAGTCCTGTCATTGTCCCGCACTTCTCTGGGGGCTTTGTAGTGAAGGCTACAGGTTCCATACTGGTCAATATACAGAAAAGTTGTGCTTTCAGATTTGTTTTGTGTGAATTTCAGAGCCAAAAGGATGTTTGTTAAGGTGACACATATGACATTTACCATATGGCCCTGACAGTATGAATGAGTCAGTGTCGTGTTGCTTTTTGATGGCGGGAATGTCCCTGACACCAATTTACAGCTCCTAAAAAAGACCCTCAATCCCGTGAGAAGAGTGTCGGGATTACTGGGAGTTTCTGGGAATCGAGGGATTTTCCCTCTTGGAAAATGTGTCTGTTGATCATCAGCCACATCAGACTCGTTAATACCCCTTAGTCAGTCACTGTTGACATATGGATGTGAGTGGAGTGGGTACTGGAGTTTAAGATTTTAATTGTATGCCATGGTGCACTGTATAATCATATTAACAGGGATATCTGTCATTTTTCAGAAGTGAGGCCTGGTCATTATTACGTCAGTGATTGAAACAGATCCCAGTATTCAATAAGCCAAATGCTGTTAGACCAACAAGAGGGTTAGAGTCTGCAGTAAGCACGGTTGTATGTATTTATTTACTTTTATTTTGTATGTACGAAACTACTTTATTTCTTTTCGCCATCACTGTAACTTTAAGCTATTATGGCAGTGCTTAAAGTTGCCTTTACAGTCTAAATTTAGCAGTGATTCCTGATTTAGATCAAGAAAAGAAGATCATTCATTAATGCCAACCTTTGATACGTGACAGGTTTTAAAACTCAATGCTTCAGACACATTTTATTTGGTACAATAGAACCATTGATGTTCAATGGCCTGAAATTAAACCTACTTATTTCTTACTTTGCATTGACTGACTGTGAGGTAATAATACTGACCACTTAGCCTGTACATCCCCCTCTTATCCAGTCAAGGAATTAATTAATTCTCATATGACGTTGATTCATTTCATCCTTCGTTTACAACCCTGTGGAGTTTTGATTAAATGTTCTATTCAATATGCAGAGTAGTTCCCTCTGGTGTAGAGACTGGGCTGGAGTGAGTGGAACCTCATTCCTTTCTGATAGATACTGACTCAATATGGAGTCAGTACTCCTCTTCACTGACCATGCAGCTTATTAAAAGGCCTCTCAGATCAAATGCCTGCTTCTCATCAGCCCCCCACCTCCTTTCAAGCAATTTTCAGGTCACGGAAGCTACAATAAAGTTGTGGTTAAACACACACGATCCAAATTCATGCGTTTGGGATGTTTCGATTATTAAAATAGTCTTTGATTTAAAGGCATCTGACTGATGTTGTAACGTTTGGTCTGTGGTGGGATGGACCTCAGTGCTAGTTATGTATCATTGGAGATTGTTCCATTAATAATGGTTACAAGTAATTCATTCCTTATGTTTATGTTCACACGCTAGGCATCTTGCTGCCACTTAAATGTCGCTCAAGTATCGGCTGCCACTTCAGTATTGATGGTTTGGCCCCTGGGGCCAGGAAAATCAGACAATGGACACATTAATCCTTATCAGATTGTTTTGGCTAACATGTTAGCTAACAATTGTCTAACACACTCAGAGACTACAGATATTCATATGGAGTCGTGCTTCAGTTCAGCTGATGAATGTAAGTTCAGTATTTACTTTCCCATTGTCTCTGTTCTAGTCTATACCAACCCATGAGACAGCTACTGGCTCCTCGCTGCTAGATGCCAACAGTCTGCCTGCTGTTGGGGTGCTGGGCGGGTATGGGTTATCAGGGCGGGTTTGCTGCTGGAAACGAGGTTGCCAAGAGAGGTGAGAGGTGACCATAGAGTAAATCTGTGGTAGAAACCAAAACAATGAGCTAAAATAAGCTGTAAAGGTCAGTAGAGCTACAGTGACCAATTGCCCACCAGATTCCTGTGGTCATTGCAAAATAAGTCTCCAGATCACAGTGCTAAAATACATCATCCCTGTATGTTTCCTTTACAGACCTGAACTTAAAACACCTTATATGTCATATTTAAACAGTTTTGGCTCAGAGGAAGACATCAGAGACACAAAATGTGTTTTGAAAAGTTTCATTTTCCTGACTTAAAAGCAACCTGTTGTAACATGCCCACTTCCCCTTTTTTCTTTCTTCTCACAACCTCAACATACCCCCCTGCTCGCCCTCAGGCTGTTTGACCCCCCTGCAGGTTTCTAGCTCTGTGAATGACAGCTACCCATTTCACCTCGATTTTAATTACACTCCAACCCCTCAATTTACCTGCCCGAAACTACTTCAAAGAAAGCTTAGACAGACACAAAAGCTCCTGAACACTGCACTTCCTTTTCTCCATGACCAGCTGAGAGTGTGAATTGAAAGTATAGAGCCTAATCCTGATGCTTTAAGGCTTTTTTAGCTCCGCATGTCACTCAAGAGTCTGTTTATAACTGTGCATTTGTGTTTAAGTACACAGCCTCTGTTATTTAAACGTCGCTCAGAGGCTCTTTGTGTTTAATGTGCAGTCGTGTACTCTCATAAACCTTTTGCATGTGAGCTTGTGCATGAAGATGAGTGTATGTACGTGTGTGTGTGTGTGTGTGTGTGTGTGTGTGTGTGTGTGTGTGTGTGTGTGTGTGTGTGTGTGTGTGTGTGGTGTGTGTGTGTGTGTGTGTGTGCCTTTTGAAGTGCTCACACCTGTTGTAAGCCATCATGAGAGTAATGATTCATCCGATGAGTTGCGTGGCAGAAAAAAGCTCCAGGTCTGTTTACAGTGCGAACACAAAGAAACCAGGGTCACAGGCGTGTCACACACCTCGCCATGCATGTTGTGTGTCCATGTTTGACCTTAACAATGCTGTGCACTCATTCGGTACTAATACATGCACTTGAATTTCACTGTAGTGAGAGAAAGGCAGAATTTCTTGAAAAAGTTTACATGCACAAAGCAAGTTACTGCGAGAAAGTAGGTTACACAGGAAATCGGACAACAACTTTTTATTAAATCTATTCATTATTATGATCATAAATGAATTATTTAGGATTAATTGAATTAATCCATCATGACACTGGCTTGATGAGCAGGAACACCTAAATCAGAGAGACTGACTGAAATGTGATGTGCATTGTTTTTGGAAATATGACTCATGATCTATAGTCTCTCGAAGTGTATGATTCAACTTTTGCCTATGGTCTAGTGTTAAAAAAGCACACAAAAATTGCAATAAATCTTATTATTGAATTGCAATATTTAAGAATCACAATAGACAAATCGGCACCCAAGTTTTGTGATAGTACAGAAGAAGGAGAGCCAGCCCTATTACAAGCTCGAAACCTGTTAACACATGTGCTGGGCCAAGAAATGTGCTTTCTCTAGGAGAAATATTGCTGGGAAATCAGATTTCTTGTTTACATGACACTGAAGGAATCAGATTACTGTAGAAAGCCGACAGTAACCTGGTCACTTAAACATATTGACTGTCTTTGTCATCTTTTTCGCCAGACTGGCACAACTGTTTTTGTGTTTCTGTGAAAACGAGAGAGAAACACGGAGGGAGGGGTGCCTTTATTTAGCCAAGCTTTCACACGTTTCTGATCCCTGTGGGGGGGAAACTGTTCTGAAGTTACACTTGTTAAACAGAGTCTCTGCAGTTTACAGACAAGCTTAGTGATGCTGTAAATCAAGATAGATTCAGGAGGTATCAGTTCTTCAAAAAAAGCTTCTTCTTCTTTATTAGGAATAATGTTCTGTGCCACTTGTCTTCAACCTTTGTGTGCCTTTTTTTAAATATTTTTTTACCTCACCAGAAATAGAAACTCACTTCTCTTGATGAGAGTGAGAGGGAGTAAAAGAGAGAGAGTTTGGCAACTAATTATGAAGGAAGCTATTCAGATTATTCAGATGCTTGCTCTGCCCCCTTCCTCTCCTCCCCCCAGGCAGTGAAGGGTCTTTTCTGTCCCCAGAGAGTGATGTCAGCATGGCCCATTGAAAACAGCCGCCGTGCGCTCTGAGATGAATGCCCTGGCTGAGCACAATGGCCCCAATTTGAATACCACGCGGATATATGCCAGATCGGAGCCCCAACAAAAGAAAGAGGGCTACTCTGCTCCCTTTCAACCATGTTGTTATTTTATTAGAGTCGTAAATTTGCTCCAACCATTTATACCTTTTGTAGTTTTCAAGTGTTTATGGAGTTTGAAACACGTGGACGACCTGACGGGGGTTGCCCCTATTTTGGATTGGATTTTATTTTTGTTGGCTCATAACTGAATGCCGTGGTTGTGTTTGTGTCTGACCGCAGATCTACACGGACTGGGCCAACCACTACCTTGCCAAGTCAGGACACAAGCGTCTGATCAAGGACCTGCAAACAGACGTCACAGACGGAGTGCTGCTGGCTGAGATCATTCAGGTCGTAGGTAAGGAAAACACACATTTGATTCCAAAATCTGCAAAAGGAAGCCAGCTCTGATCATGTGGTGGCTGAATAAAATGTGAAACACGTCACTGGTTACTTTTAAAGATATGACTGACCTTTACCAAAGAAATAGTTGCAGTCTTTTACAAAAGAAGGACAGCATCATGAACTAACAAGCTTTTAATTTAGTTGATGTAACAGAACAAATGCCTTTTAGCTCTATTATCTGGTGTAGTAGTGTCAATTTCAGGATGAGTCATGCAAAGAGTTTATTTATTGTGCAACTGAATAGACTGTGCTGATAGAGTCGGGACAAAACATTATGGTAGATAATGAAAGAGATCATGAGTGAACTTGAATAAGTCGGATGCTTGTTTGCTCCAAAAACGTTCTAATCCCACTCAGAAGCAAAACATGTTTGTTACAATTTCAATTCTTACTCAAAGTTAGTGACTAACAGAAATGAAATGAAACAAACTGCTGAGAGGATAGAAGCATGTACTACTATATAATAAGTTGTTAATGTGTCAATCAACTTTTCAGGACCTAATGATGCAAATCTCATTGTCCAATTGACCAACATGTATTTTATCCAAACAAATAAACAAAACATTTCTGTGTCATTACCCTGAATTGAATAGGAAAGTTTGTAATTCTTCAACAGAAGTTAAATGCTCCAATGTGTTCACATGACAGCAGGACTGTGAAGACATTCAACCTGGTTGCGGCTGTTAAAGTGGGCTGCTCCTATGTGTGTTTGACCCCCCCTCACACTCATCTGTGTCATCATAAGTCTTGTCATTTCGTCTGGCCGTCCTCAGCCTGTCATTTCATCTGCCGACAGCCCCGAGGCTGACACAGGCTCCGACACCAGCTGACCGGTGACTCAGCATGTCACTGACAGTCTGTGCTCCCAGCTCTTCCCTCTCGTCTCTGACCCAGATTTATACTTCTTGTGCTTCGTACAGCTTAATCTGAACAGAGAAGAGTCTCACTGTTCTTAGACTGTAGCTGTTGCATGTGATTCGTTTTTTGAGAGTTAGATCCGGCGAGCAGGCATCAGAGGGCGTTTTATACACTGTATGTGAAATGTATTTACATCACATTCTTGAGCTCATACCTTTTCACACTGGCTCCATATTCCAGGGGTGTAGTTGCTTCAACTACAGCCATAGTCAATCCTGCACACCTGGATGAGGACTGTAGAGTAGCTGAGATTGTTGTAAGTGGAATACAATGGAGCTTTTCTTAAAACTGGAACTAAACATTATGTTAGTGTATTATTTAACCGGTAATTAATAAAAAAGCTTAGATTGAACTTAATTTGCTCTTTTGATATTGTGATGTTTGAATGGATGCTGAACAGGAGCTGTAAAGAAGTGGACAGGAAGATTGAAATCCACCTGCAAAGTATCAATAATCTGCTGATTGTTTTCTGGTTCATTTTGTGCTTAAATATGGATCCATATTGAAGCAGTCTGTCTGGCTGGCTTGTGTTCCTCCAGTCATTGATTTTTCTTATCACCAGTACAGAACCTGAACCTCCTCCTGGCCCACAGACTTTGTTTGGGGATCAGGAACTAAAATTTAAATCTGCTTTAACAGTCAAAATGGAGTTCCCTTAAAAGGTTTCTGCATTCCTGAAAATGTACCTGTGTTCCTGAAAAAAAGTTCCCGCGGTCTGAACGTGTCACCACGTCATCGCCTCAGCCAGTGCCATTTCTATTCTCACAACTTCAAGCCTACATGCAATATATACACTCTGACAGCTGACCTCTGCTGCTCTGCTCTCACATTGAAACAACACGCACCAAAGCGATTCATTCACCTGTTCTGCCCTGCTGCCTTCTGTCCGCTGGGAAAACCTCACACCACACAATCGCTGGTGAAACTGGAGCAGCCTGCTGGGGTAGGAGGCGGCTCATACTGGGACCGAATGTGTCCCGTTTAGCTATTTGACCAACTCCCGCTCAAGGTCAGCATTTTGGTATTTTGGTACACCTCCATATCGAGGTCATCTTCAAAGTTCTTATGAACTGTCCTTGAGGCGACCGTGAGGATCATCTTTCAGCAAGTGTCAACCTGATCTGTGACCTTCCAAGATATTTAGCTTTGTCCTCAGCTCCCAATCTTGGGAAAATGTGTCTGGTTGTTGCTTTTTTTTATTTTGGGAACATTTATTTTGTAAGTGTGTATCTCAAAATCACAGAGTCTCTTGTGGGTGTCAGCACACAAACCAGAGCCAACAGTAGCAGTGTTAAATCACTGATCATTTGACATGTTTGTTTAAGTATGGGATACTGTTTGACATGTTTTTGCCAATATACTCATCATGATGACGCATTTATTTTAAAGAATAGAGTTTGATGGAGATTAACGTTTTTTTCCCCACATTATTTTGCTGATGTTCCAGTAAATAGACAGGGACATGTTGTTTATACAGCATAGAGAAAGTGGCTACAACTACCTATCAGCTTTTCTTACAATTTTTGATTGAGTCAAGCAAACCAAATAAAGTCAGACGTTATTTTTCAGAAGAAAAACAAAGTGAACGCATCTACCCTTCAATTGGCTATTGCTGCATCTTATTACTGGTAATTTGAGTTACTATTTTCAGTTTAAATCAAGAAAATCAGTTGTTGGTTGAACTACTTACAATACGTGGACATGTAACCGGTGACGGGGTCACAATCCAAAAAGTTTGGGAGTTAGTTATTTGTGTGTATTAGAAGGAAGTTGACAAGGACACCTTAAAAGACACTACGGGGAGAAGAGTATCTTCTCACAAGGTAGGTTGTGCAGTACGTGGTCCTGAGGTGGAGCTGCATGGTGGGCCCCACTGGGCCTCCTGATGCAGTAGGCTGTGCTGTTGGCACAGTTGTCAGCTGTGAGCCGACTGCCGTGTCTCAGCTGCTGTGGGCTGGGCCTCTAATAGACGGGAGGAATCCTCGACACAACACACACACGCCCCCCACAGAAGCAGCACACATCTCAGCCGGGCCCCCAGCGGCCCCGTTCCCATTTGCTGTGACCAGATAGTGTTTCATGTCTCTGCGGGAGGGGAGACGAAGGGAGGGTGGGGGGGTCACAGTCACCGGCATGAACACCTCTGCTCTCCTCAGTCAGCCAGCAACTGTCTGGGACACACACAGAGGGATCTCAACTGGAAATAAAAGAGAGGATTACATTAACCAAACACGCCTGAAAAGAGTTTTCATTCTCTCTTCTTTTATCTCTCTGTCCCTTCCTCCTCTTTCTGTCTCTCCTCAGCCAATGAGAAGATCGACGATATCAATGGCTGTCCCAAGAGCCGTTCTCAGATGGTAAGTGACCTTCTACGTTTGTTTTGATAGAACGTTGTGAAATTTACCTCAGTGTGTGTGTGTGTGTGTGTGAAGTAACACACCTCTTTGATGTCCCATCTCACCGCTCCATGCGGCCCTCGCTGGGAGCTGCGGTGCAGAAGTCACTGGTGAATAGTTGTAGATGGGAATAGTTAGTCCATTTATTTTTACTCTTGTGGTCTTGCGGGCTGCCGTCCGTGGAACCTCTGGCTCAGACTTCTGGCAGTTGGCGCTCAGTTGAAAGCATCACAGACTTTGGTTTTGGGGCCAGTTTTGCCTCATCTTATTACACTTGCAAAGGAGTCAGCATTCCTCTCATCTCCAGTAGTGAAAGCAGGCTGGGAGCATCGGCGATGATGACAAAGAAAATGTTTGCACCCAGTTACGATGATGATTTTGTCTACAGTGACATTTACCGCATATGCAAGTGGGATTTTCCTTGTGTTGCTGCTGGTGGGATTTCAGTGCTTTCACAGTTTTGTGTTCTCTATGGGAAATGAGCCGACAGTGCCCAGGGCAGGGCTGCCCTCGGCTGAATGTGAAGGGTCGTAAATTGGGCCAGTGTGCCAGCTGGGGGGGCTATTTTTGGCCACCAGCCAGACTACTGAAGCCTCTCAAAGCACCAGAGAGAGAGAGAGAGATACACACCCATAGTTAACAACTGAGGAGGAGGTGGAAGCACAGCTGATCCCTGAACCCTTTTTCATAACCCACATGGAGCCATAGTGCTATACTTAGGAGGAAATCCTGTTGTTCAGTTTGATTTCTAGTGCTTTTGTAGAATTGCATAGTGCTCTCTTTTCATGTTTTGATGGGAGTTTCCATGTTCTGCCCTATTAGACGTTTTCATTGTCTTGGTAATACCGGCAATTCTCCACCTTTTGTAGAGAATAAAGCCTCCAAGTGTATTCATCAGGATCTCTTCTCAATTTATCATAATTGAAAATGTAGAACTTAAAGTTCAACTTAGTCTGGCTGTCTTTGGGCTACTTGACTTCACCAAGCCAAACAATAGCCATCCTGGATAACCGGTGTGTCCTGAAACTGGTCATCGACCGGCTCAGTCAAATCTGTGTTTTTTCTGTCAAGCTACAAGCGCGTTCATGCGAGAGAGGCACAGCTGTAAGTTACAAGCAAGATTGTCACAACCGTGAATGAAGTACTCAGTATGAAAGGAGATACCCCTGGGGGAAAAAATGTTGTAGTGACAACAAAACCTGATACTGAAGGAGGTGAAATGTGTACAATATGACCACACAACTAGAAGAGAATAAGAAGCTATAGAAACACTAGAACTTATTTCCAAATAATTTCCTGTTTATCCAAGTAACATAAGTCTGTTTCTCTGCCAAAGCAGAGACAAAAGGAGAAGAAAAGCAGTTAATGCCCGATTGGGTCTGTCTCACTAAAATGTTGTATTTATAATTTAGTGGGAGGTAATTAACTGCGCGTGGGTTATTTTTCTAATAAAAGACAACAGTAGGGAAAGTTTATATTTCCATTCATCATCACAAAGTTGCTTCATGTTATTCTGAGCTCCAGTGATAGAATAATAGTGTTAAAGCATTCTCACTGTCAGAAATCCCCAATTTAAATTCATCTGTAATTGTCATTATTATATTTAGTGTAATAAACTATCCCTCCCTATCCCTAAATTACCTATTGCTCTTCATTACTTGTCACTTTATTTTAAAGTCAGTGTGTTTGTACATGTCGGGATACCAGCTTCATGATAGCAGAAAACCCGAGTTAAGCCCAAAGATAGCTGGCTTAACCCACTTATCTGGCTTCATGGCTTCATGGCACAGGGTCCTCATGTACAGTAAACAGTCAATTACTACTGTAAACCTTTTTATATCATCAGAAAACAGTTAGTTCTTGTTAACTGTTCTTGTATTTAAAAAAATCCTCTTCAATCAATTTTTCGAGTCAAGCTTTTGGATGTTGGGATCATTTTCTTTACAGTTGGATTACAGGCGAGCACCAACAAAACATAATTCATTTACAAACAAACAGACTGCAAATCCATCACTCTCTATACTATTTCCCCCCTTCTGTTTGAATATTATATAGATTTAGTCTCTGTTTCATTACAGAAGTACATGTATGGAGTCACACTCGAATATGGCTCACTCCCCTCCGTACTCACTGTCCCACTCACTATCAATTAGGCCTTTCCCATTAGCGCTGATTATGCCCCCCAGTCACCTGTAATTGAGCGTTTTGTACTCTTTAGTCTGGCCATCTCTCTGTGGTTTTGTTGTGCTGTTATCAACATCCTGTGTTGCCCCCAACCCCACGCTGTCATCTGCAAACACAGCAGCTAAAAGAAGATTGCAGGATACTTTTGAGACAAATCAAGTGGTTCCAAATATATAATATGCCTGTGATTGTGTCCTAGATGTTTATAGATGCTGTGTGTGTGTCAATCAAGAGGGAAACAAAAAGTAATGTTATAGCGTGCATTCAAGCAGTGTGATATTGTTTATTGGATAATTGCTGTCAAAAACTGCTTTTATTGTGCATGGATAAACTCAGATGCTGCAGTTTGTGAGTATTTTTGGATCGCTGCGTATAATCTCAGTAGGTTTGTCAGCTTAAAAGCAAAATCTGACGCACTCAAGCAGTGCTAAGGGCAGGTGCAACCGCAGTCATTATGCAAATATCTGCTTTGTGTGTTGTAGTGCTGTCAAAACAAACACACACAAACACACACACACACGGGTCCTGAGAGTTTAGTTGGCAGCTGGGGTTAAGGAGTATGAGAGCCCACTTTTACTGCACTTTGTTTCATTGCATTCAAACCCCCAAAGCTTCCAAAGCTGCTGCCAATTACCACCACTTAACTTAACCTCTGTCGCTAAACGAATAAACATGGAAATAAGCTCCATCAGTGGAATAAACCGTGGAGCTCTCACCTCTCACTCACGCTAGCTGATTAGCATGCTGGCTGTCCGGCCCGAAGTGAGAGGCTGTTTTTACAACTGTCGCATCCTCATTAAACGGACCCCCATCATTGGGTCATTCCTTTGCCACCCAGTCAGGCTCTGTTTGTGTTATGTGTGTGTGTGTGTGTGTGTGTGTGTGTGTGTGTGTGTGTGTGTGTGTGTGTGTTTGTTTGTTTGTGTGTGTGGGTCCAGCCCAGAGCGAGGGTGTTGATTTGACACCGAGCTGTTAAAACCACACAGGATGCCACAGACACACACAGAGACACACACACAAACATGCACGCGGTGGCTCATCCAAGTAGCACGCATTAATGCAGCAGCTTCGGAAATTAACTAGAAATAGAACTAGTAATTAAACACGGCCTAACGAGAAATGTTTTTATCAGCCAAACATTTCAGCATCCTCATTTATTCAGTGCACCATTAAAATCTAGGAGTGGATTCATTTTACTGTTTACTTCAGATACTATGAGCCAACTTACTGAATGTAGTTTAAATGAGACACTGTTTCCTCAAAGAGATGTTGTTGTTGAGTTTTTGTGAAGGGACAGGTTGAAGGATTCGGCGGCATGTAGAGGGGAAATTGCAGATTAGATTACGCCTTTCAAGCGTGTAGGAGGAACTATGGTGGCTGCAAAACTTCAGAAAAACACGAAAGGCCCTCTCTAGAGCCGGTGTTTGGTTTGTCTGTTCTGGGCTACTGTAGAAACATGGCAGTTCAACATGGTGGACCCGCTCGCCCTGATGGTGATCTAAGTATCTACAAAAATTGGATGACCTGACCTATTAAATCACATTATCTCATTGGCCTCAGCAGATGACATTTTGGACAATTAATACCTATATTTATATTATAAATGTATAATCCATTACATATATATTTACAAATTCATGGATAAGCCACGCAGTGCTTTATACTGTGTGTCTCTACTGGATATTGAGGTAGAAATAGACAGTACAAGTCTGGGTTTGTACCTGTCAAAGGGTTTCTGTCTTGGTTTGTTGGGCTTTTTGCCGTTGTTGGATAGGAACTGAAGAGAGAGAATTGATGACATGCAGCCCTTGACTGGAACCCCTACCTCCGGGATAAAGACTCAGCTTTAGTGCATGGTGTCTGTGCTCCACCAGGTGAGCTGCCAGGGCGCCACACACACTCTTGGGTTTAATTATGGCCTGTATTCTTAAAACCCTGTTTGCCGGACTGGTTTATCCTTTCCAACCTGCATATTTTCTACTGCTGCAAAAGAGAGAGAGGGAGAGGTGAGGAGGAAGACTGACAGACACACACACACACACACAGGTAGAAATCAGCAGGACCAGGTGTTCAAAGGGCTGCATGAAAAACAGACTGAAGGAAACTTCAGCAGCCACGGAGGGATGTTATATGAGGATACAACTCTTCGACTGCATGTCAAGCTCTTTGCTCATACACCGTGATTCTGCCCTGACAAAAGAGCTTTTCTTTGTCATTCAACCTGTGTTTCACCTTCAAGTGCAGTGTCAATTAAAACTGCCACACAGTTTTTACCAGACGGGAACACACCTAATATTTAACCTGAGTGCACACAGTTGTATGTGTCTCTGTGTAGCTGTATTCTCTACAGTGAAGATCACACTGGTAGATGGTTGCTTTTTCTGACGCAGATCAATTTTAGTATTTTTATAGATTTTGAAACGTTCTGCTGGTAAGCACGACAAGACCCAGATGTTTTATAAATGATTCAACAGGCTGGTTAATGTTTGATCAAAGGGAGCGGTACTTTCTGTGTGTGTGTGAGAGAAAGAGAAATCCCCAACTGTGTCAGCTGGTCAGAACTCAGGTGATCACATGATGGACTGAAAATAACAAGCAATCACAGAAACAGTTTCCAAGCAACCAAATATACCAAACCCCAAATCGCAATTTCAGAAGCATGGACCTTTATTGGCAGACTGGAGACAGTTTGTCTTCCACACGAAGGTCACAGAGCCCCGGGCAACCTAAAAACAGCACCTAAAGGGGGTGGACACAATAACACTGCGTGAATAATGCAATCATATACCTGCAATAATGATGATTTTTTTCCCCGAGATGTGATCGCATGATGCATTGCGAGGTGTTCTTGTTATTTTGTCCACCTCTTGCACATACAGCGCACACAGACATACTGGGCTCAGTTGTTGCATAAGTAAGTCATCTGTTGCAATAACAGTTAGTCCATTCATAGGAGGTATGACACAACAGTTTATAAATTATACTCATTCCAAAACCCTCAACCTTTGAACAATGGGGCTTGTTTTTAAATGAAAACAAATTTGCAAAGGTCTTCTGAACAAGCAAAGACATCCCTAAAGACAACAAATTAAAGCAGCTTTGCCTAAATTATTCTGTACACAGTTCGGCAGGGAAATGTTGATGTAGTCAGCTTGTTTTTTATTTGTGAAAGCAGACAGTGTCAGCCTGAGTATAATTAGCAAAATGAAAAACAAAAATAAAGAATAATAAATCCTATAGGAGGATGCACACTGTGAACATAATGTGATTAAAGACATGAATAAAAATGCATTTAAAGAAGCAGTAAGACAGACTATGCTGCCTGAAGTCAATATGTGTGATCTGGCATCATGGTGTGTATCATAACTGCCGGTGCATCATATTTTATCAATAAGCAGTGAAAACCAGCACTCCTCTGAGGTGCAGAAACCTCTGCACACATTTTTCAGTCGATTGAGAGAGAATTATTGAGGTAGATGTCAAAGTTCAGCAGGTGAGCTGGTAGCTGTAATGTGTGAAACCTCTTGAGAGTGAAAGTATGCGTGGGCAGATACTGACAGCTTTAACCACACAGTCAAAAACACACACACACACACACACACGTATATATACAGCTACACACACACAAACTGTTGTCTCACAACCGTGTTACGTGATCAGATTCCACAAAACCCAACAGTCAAATGATGGAGAGCGTTCTGCATTAAAGCTGCTGATGTCAGATGGGAGTGGCAAGAAACTGGCCCAATATTGTGTTTTTCTGAAATCAGATATTAGCCAATCATGTTGTTTAGTGACAGTGTAAAGGAGGTTGTAGTGTTGGTTCATTTGTCCAGTAATGCTTTTCTGGAAACGAATTCACCGTTTAAAGAATAATTCCAGTTTATTACAACTTGGGGCTTATTTTTGTAGTTCTCACAGTTCATTGAACTCATTAAAATGAAGTTAGACGGCTAAAAACACAAGTTAGTCATTCAGACAGGTTTTAAATAAGGTTAGCCAAACTTATTTGGAGAAGTGGTGTGTTGTTGCTAAAGAACTTGTTAACATTTACAGACCTACAGGAACAATAATCAGTGCAGATTAAGTTGATACTTTTAATGCTGTCTCTGAGGCTTTTTGACAAGAATAAGGTTCAAGGCAAAACAAAATTGTAAGGTTTTGAAGTTAAAACTGTCAAGTTTGAATACAGGAAAGCATTGCTTGCTTATGATCAGCTGTAAGCTTGGTTTAACTTTGGTTTGGTTGAAAGATATCGGCCTCAATATCAGCCTTCAAAAGCTCCTATCAGTCAAATCCTGCTTCAGACACACACACACACACACACACACACACACACTCCCTCTGTCCCTCCCTCCTTTCCCCTCTCTCTCTCTCTCTCTCTCTCTCTCTCTCTGTCTCTGTCTCTCTCTCACACTCCCTCTTTCTCTCTCTCTCTCTCTCTCTCTGTCTCACACACACACACAACAATAGCATCCGTGTGATGGAAAGAAGTGTTTACTCAGAGGGCTGTCGGCTGGCCAGCCCCACGCTGCTGCCGGAGGCCGGAGCGGAGCAGGAGGTGACGGTGGCCTGGATGGAGGTGTGAGGTCCGTCAGAGCAGTCTCACTGCAGGAACAGATCACACATCCAGGCAGGTAGGAGTTAAACCAGTGGCGTCGTTCTGTTTCTTTAAGGATTTGTTGTGGATTTCTCTCTGGGCTTGTTTACAGGTATTTTATTATCAGTAGAGTTTTAGAAGGGAATGAACAAGAGTATTCTCCTCTGTGTTTTCTTGATTTAGTGGTCTTACTCTTTCGATGGCGTGTTTCTTTTTGAGCACAATTTTGTCGTTTTACTTTTACTTGAGTATCTTTTCAGTTGTCGTAACACTTTGTGGAGAACAGAGGAATAATGGATGGACGTACATTATAGAAAACACTGTGTTGTTGATCCACATCATATTTCTGGTTTCATTTAGTTGTTTGGTGGTACCGTTTTCTTATTCCTGTTGATATCTGGTTAAACAAGATGAAAAGTAAATATGTCTTTAGTCAACAATAGTTGTAATGGTTGATTATTGTGTAATTTAATGAATAACTGTTCTTTCATTAACTGGTTAAGATTCAAAAGTCCAATGTCTAACATTTAGGAGGATCTATTGGCAGAAAAGTAACATAATATTACAAACCAAACACTGGCTTAAGGTAGGGCCTTTCGTAATCAGAGAGGTGAGGCGACAGGAAATGTCAAAGGTGGAGGGATGACATACAACAAAGGTCCCCAGTTGGATTCAAAGTGTGGATGCTGCAGTAAAAGAATACACAGGAGAGGACTATTTAGAGGAAAACTCATAGATAAACTGATTGGTTATTTAACATATAGACCTATATGGAAGATCTCAGGCTCTGTCACTGATGGCAGATTGTTGATCTGGATAGTGTTCCAATGGCTTTTCTGAGCTCTGGTCCCTGCAGGTTTTAAATAGCAAGAGGTTTCAGTATTTATACCCCCTGTGAGGCGGGACTTGGGAGCATCTCAGCAGGACGGGCCTGGCATTTATGATGGGGTATCTTAATGAACCATATTTTCTGCAGGCTGCTGCTATTTAAACTTCAACTTCTACCAGGGAATTTGGGCCAGTCGGGGAGTGGTGCAGGCACTTTAGTCCGGAGGTATTAAAGAAAGTCTCTCTGGGTATGTCAGTGAGGTTAAAGGGATATTTCAGAGAGGTTTATTTTTAGGGAGCCTGTGGTATTCGGAGAGGGCCATAGTCTGCATTCCTGCTGTTCCTATGTTTTCTGCTGTATCACCTCAAAGGATAACATATGTCAGCCCCTCTAACAGCTGTTTCTGGGGTCAGAGGTTACGGAAATGACAGCAGGGTCAGCACTGCTGTTTCAGTGAGACCAGTGACCGGAAGTCCGCCAGCCTCTTCACGCACAAGCATGGCTGAGATAGACATGGAGCTTAAATTAGGAGTAGAATAAGTAGTACTAATCAAGTATAAGTGTGGTACAATAGTGAAGGTAGTCATTTGTAATCCCATAAATGATACAGCAAGTAGTAATCAATCGTTGTGTGTTTACTAATAGTCCAGTAGTAGATAGACGTGGTTAAAATCTGGTTTTGGGTATACATGAATGTGTAGTGAACAGTTATTAGTGATCATATGGCGGATTCGGCAAATGATAATCTGGTTAGTAGTTTATGCGTTCATAGCATATATTGTTGGTAGCAGATGTCACTAGTATTGATATGGTAACACTTGCTTTTGCCCTAGTTGATGGAAGTTGAGTAGTATCTAATAGTAAGGTGGGAGAGGATGTAGTCAATAATATTGTGATAGTAAGTGTAACTAGTAGCAGTATGGTGTATGTGTCTAGTGCATGTACAGTTAATTGATAAAAATGTGATGTGATTTACTGTGGTACTGGATGTAACTAATATTAATACAGCAGTGGATGTAATGTGTGACTAATAGTGAAATAGTAGTGGATGAAACTAAATGTGACAGGCTAGTGGATGGAAGTAATATAAAAGTAATAGTGGTGGTAACTAATAGAAGTAAGCTTGTAGGTGTGAGTAGCACTAAAGAAGTAGTGAGAGTGGATTTAGTAGGCTTATTGATGTGGATTCATAGATTTTGTAGTAACAGTACGAACAGCAGTCAGTAGACGTTAATGTATTTTCACAGAGGCGGATGTAAATGAGCTTTTACTCCAGCTTCTCACCTCACAGCCGGATACTTCCTAACAGGAGAACCATAGAGGGAGCTGTAGGTCAAGCTATATTTAGTCGGTGCATATTAAGTGTAATCATGTCATTAATCTTTAGCGAGCGGGACCCTCCCGTTTGCAGCCCACACCCGGCCTCGTTTATAAAGGACACAGTTCATATGTATTTTAGTTTAGAAACCGCTTGGAGTATCACTGCTCTATATCTGTACTCCCTTGGTTGTGAGGATTATATTTGAGCTGTTGTTTTTTCACAATGGGCTAGTTGTACAAACCCATTCAGTTATAAATCTACTCTCACTTGTAATAAATGTCATGCTAAAAGAGATTTACCACCTCTTTAACCTTTGTGCATACAGTAAAATGCTTTAATGTCCATTTCACAGTCAATTCTTTAGTTAATTGCTTTGCCTAGAGTACCACCTTACAGTCTGCCACTGTATGTAATATGAGAGAGCAACGGCTGTGCCATATTGATATCTTTTTTGTGTGTGTGTGTGTGTGTGTGTGTGTGTGTGTGTGTGTGTGTGTGTGTGTGTGTGCGTACCTGCTGTGTTTGCTCATCGAAAACAACAGTTGGTAAACTTTGATCGCTCATTCATCTGCAGTGACTCTGCTTGATGACTTGTTTTATGTGGTTTACTTTGTGATTACGTGGGCCAGCCAGCACACTCGGTGTATAATGGGTCACGTGGGCCCTAAACAAAGCCCGTCTGCCTATCAAATCCTCTCGCAGTCCAGTGACAGCTCAGCAGTCTGTTCCGGTTGCCAAGGCTGCTGTCATAGCAACTTAGTTGGAATAGATGGTTTGATTCTCTGTTGCCCTGCTGATAAAAGTCTGCCTGGTTTGAATCCTGTTTTGACTATGTCACCATGTGGCAAATGTTAACATCCCATACCATTTCCTTTGGTTGGAGGTGTAGCCTATCTGATGCATCTACTTTGAGCAATTCTGTGAGCAGTTTGATGGGATTCCACCTACAGTTATCAAGTTGTTATTCTCCTCATGGACTATCAGTGAATCAGCATTATTGTCTGTTATGTGCAGATCTGGATGTAGATGCAGTTTAAACTGATTGAGATGCCTTATCAGATGTAAGCATTTTTATGAGAAGTTTCTAAAATTTGAAATGTATGGTCACTGAAATAAAAGTATTTACCCCCAAAAACAATCCAATGAACATAAACAGATTTCGTTTGCCATTAGCAGCTTATTTTTCAGTATCAAATCAGTGAATATTGAAGGATATAACATCTTTCATCCCAACATTTTCATCCGTGTCAGTGTTAATGTTCAGCACCTCTTTCTCGCAAATTGTAACAGGTTAGTACATTTTGTGCTGCCAACTTTCCTTTGTAGATCAGATTTGTAGATGTTCACTCCCAGTTTTGCCATCACACTCTCAGGAGAAGCGTGCTAAAGACAGACCAGCGCGCTTCCTCAAATTATACAAATATGCAAATTCACATGGAAATGTGCAGGGTGCAGTGTCTTACAGCTGTGTCTGTGTCTCTCTGTCCAGATTGAGAACATCGATGCCTGCCTCAGTTTCCTGGCAGCCAAAGGAGTCAACATCCAGGGTCTGTCTTCAGAGGGTAAGCTGGACTTCTGCTTTCACTGGAACAAGAGAGGTAGACTCCAGACCTAGGTCCGGGTCAGGCCTAGCTGCTAAACAAATGCCCTTTGTGCTACGGGAGAAAAAAAAGATAAAGAATGGCAACTTGATACATTGAGGCATTTGTATTGGCAAGTTCTTTTGCCAGGACACACTACATTAATGCCAGACAGTACACATTAAAATATGTATGCTCGATTACACTACATATAGAACCAATGTACCGGAAAGCTCACAACAGTGCAGTGTTTAAATGTAGTCCACTTCAAAAAAAAAGATTGATGCTGGCTTAAATGCTTACATCCTATTATTCACAAGGAACCTAGAAACAACAATAGTAATGCTTCTATATTTGGGCTGAACAGTGTATTAGTGAGACAGTGATCCCTCACAGCAAGAATGACATTGGGTCAATTATCTATTCTGTATGGAGTACATGTTCTCCAAATATTATTATTAAGTTTATAATATTTTAAATTTAAAGTTATATTATAAGTGAGTTTTGTTGAATAAAGCCAGCAATGGACAGCAAATTAGATTGTATTTGTTGTGTTTTCAGGCTGCTGCTGAATACAGCTTTGTAAGAAAATGCCAGGACGTTCACTTAATTGTATCAATGCCAGATGTAGAAGCTAGTCCGCTTATGGCTTGCATCTTCTTCTAAACAGTAAACAGTTCAGTTAAAGCTGGTATAAATCTGTGGAATTCAACTGAAAAACATGCCACCAATGGCATGAGATTGCTGGAAGCTCTTTTGTGACCATTAAAGTCAAATGTATAATTTTCTTTGCTCACATTACATTTCATTCCAATACACTGCCGGCTTAATTTTGTGTATAAATGTATAGTATAAATGAGACTTTCTGCCTGTGATACTAAATATTAAGTAAGCATGGAAAGGCAATTAAGGAATGAGTCATTATCACAATATACCAACAGTATCTCAATAGACCGTAGAAGCTGTAGTCATAGAGCTGTCCTGAAGCATAAAGTTAGTAGCTTTAGTTTCTTAGCACAGAACATCCCTGCAGCTGTCATCATGCACGGTTGAAGTAACATAATTTCTCTACAGCTTTTGTCTCCTTTCTTCACCTCATCTGCCTTTTTCCTTATTAATATTCCACACTGTCCTTTTCCCTGACCCAGAGATTCGGAATGGTAATCTGAAAGCCATCCTCGGCCTCTTCTTCAGCTTGTCCCGCTACAAACAGCAGCAGCAGCAGGCACAGCGGCAGAACTCCCAGCCCTCTCTCCCTCCCGCCGCCCAGTCCCAGAGCACACACCCTCCCCTGAGCCAGCAGAGCAGCGCCCCGGCCCAGCTCAGCCACTCTCCGCATGGGACTCCTGCCCTTACAGCCCAGAAAGCAGCACAGGCCGAGATGCAGTCCAGGTGAGGCTCACTGGCCCGTTCATGCAAACTCTGGAAACTGGAAGCAATAGAAATGTAACCTTGAAACTGGGTGAATGGGTTTTGTTTCCTCTGTATTCTTCACTTTCTTGCTGTTGCTGCTATTCTAATCCATCATTTTGTCATTTCAATCTCCGTGTTCACACTTCCTGTCATTTATAACTGTAAACCTGACCTCTCCGTCTCTGTCCTCTTCCATATATCCCTTCTCTTTCCTTCTCCTCTAGGGATGGGTCTCAGAGTAAACTACTCAAGTTTTCCCTTGGTCAGAAAAAGACCTCTAGGTCAGCTTCACCTGCCTTTCTGTTTTCTTGCTCCTCCCCTCTCTTTCCTCCACCACACCTCCTATCCCTTCCCATTTCTGGAAATAAGAAAGTAGAAATTGCCCCTAATCAAGGATAAGATTTCCTGGTCGTGTAATGAGTTTCATGTTGTTTCTTTGTCCGTGATTAAGGGCAATCTCTACTACAAGCACTATCTAATATGCATGAGTGGTAGTGTTGAGCAGATAGGAACTAAAGCTCCAGGCTTCATTTTCGGACGTCCCTGTCTGTCTGGCAGCGCGCCTCATTTGGCAAGCCTGCTAAATGGGCTGTGAAAGACCTTTAGATAACCCTTAAGTAAGTGTGTATGTGCTTGTGTGTGTGTGTGTGGGTTTGTTTGACAAGCACATCCCCCATATAATGTGACATTAATAATTAACGCAGAGAGAATCTGTGGCAGTGGAGTAATAATAATACTGTGTTGTTCAAATTTATCTGGTGTCTTTGCCTCCTTTTTAGCATGCAGTGTCTCATTATGTGATGATGCACCTTGAAATTGGATTTAGGATGTGGTTTTGCATGCTGCCCATCCCAGATTCTGTTTGCATTGCACCTGCCCCACACCAGCTCCTCTCCTGAGCAATGCAATGGCCCCACCTTCTGGTCAGCATGTGTAATTACAAGATGAAGAGTTTAGCTTCTCCTGGTGTTTTTCAGTCGAACATGGCTAAAATTTTCTCTCAAATGCCTCAATCAGAAAATATACAGATATCCTCAAATCAAACAGCATGCGTAAGTTTTTTTTACTTCTAATGGATTTAAAAGAAGTAAAAGGCTTATATATATTCTTATTTTCTGTTTTATTTGTTTCTTTTTTATGAGCTGCGGTTTGACAAAACAAATGTCTTAAATAAATGAATCAACCTCTGTTTCTGAGATAATGTGCACTGGAATTGAACAAATATGATAAGAGATCTCTTCCACATCACTACCATTCAGTCATTCGCAGGACAAACACAGCCAATGTGAAAAAATCTAAATGGAAGACAGTGCTTGCAGCACACATAAAAAACAACTTTAGACCAAGGTAAAAGGAAGCATAAGTAATATAATCACTTTAAAATACATGTTTGAATAAAAACCTAGAAGTTTTAAGATAGTTCAGAGCTGAGTACCGGTGCACTGCAAGCCTTGGAACTTTATTCTTTTTGAGCAAATATGATAATTATGTGGCGAAAAACAACAGTGTCTGAATATAAATTGAGAGGAAACAAAGGGCAGAGATGTGTCTGAGAGTGCTGTCCTCGCTCAATGCCCACAGACACATTCGTTTTGACACATTGCCCAAGCCCATATTCAAATTTTGAAATATATAAAGTTTTTTTTATAACCGTCAAATCAAATATTTCTTCTATACACTGTCAGTCCAAAGGGGGAAGGGAATAGACTGACTGGTCGTGCCATAATTGAAAACCAAATGGTCTCAGGCTACTCTTGACAAAATAATGCAGTAAAACTTATTACCTCGCAATGGCCAGATAAATAATTGCCAGTCAAAGTGAATGGCATGCCGGAAATGAGAGTTCCATAATGTAAACGAGAGCTGAGACTGAGAGCTGTAATTTTGCTTATCAGCATCCACCTCACAGTCCCAGGATGATGATGATGATGTCGCTGCTGGTGAATTAGCATTTCATTAGCAGTCTCTTTGCCACGGCCTGGTTTGATTGCAGCTTGGCTCACGGGCCTCACCAAAAGCAACAGACCGACTTACAATGTGGAATTAATGTGTCATAAAATTCACCAAGGCTTATCCACGGCCAGTATATCCTGTCTAATCCATGCAGGGAAATAAAGGGGCAGGACATGTAATCTGAGGCTGCTGAGCTCACAGCTCCCCTGGGACCTGCACTTTGTCAGCCTGTCCATTCATATATGTCCATGTAGTTGTGAGCTCATCTGTCTCCATGAGATTACTGCAGGTGTACATAGGGAGGTGGGGCCAAGCAGAGCTGGAAGAAAGGCAAACAATAGTTGAGTATATATTTGTTCAGGTACTGTCTGTACCTTCTAATCCAAGCCACTGACTTTTAGCCTGAAGATGATCCAGACGTAAACATGTAACGTGGGAACATTCGCTGAGTCTAAAATAGTACAAAGCATAAAGAAAGTAGGCAAAAATCCCAGCAGCAAGATGGCTAGTGAGTGGTTAGTTTAGTCATGGATTTGTGGTAGACTCAATGGAGGTCAAAAAAAGTGTATATCATGTATTCAGCAACTCTCTGGATGTTGAAGTGCGTCAATTTCCTCGGGCATTGACTGAAAATTCACATTGTGAAAAATGCCCATTTTTCCGCACTTTTCTTACTATAGTGACATGGTGCCTAGTCAAAAAACAGAAAAATAATGTAAAATGAATACTTTTTGCCATTGTTTGCACTTGCCTGAACCGTGTGACATTCGTGTTATACATTTTGGACGACACACTTTGTGTGTTTGCGTTGTTGCATACGTTTCTTGCACATGCAGAAGGATGAGATGCTCTACAAGTGCCAGTTAACCTTTGCAGCGTGTTCCGTCTGTTCACGTAAAACGCTTACTGTAATAAATCTGCAGCTCTCCTCTACCTGCATGGTCCCTGTACACTCAGTCCTAATTAAGCAATGCCCTGGATGGCCTGGATCTGTGCTTGTCCCAGCAGAATGCGTTACAAACCTGCAGTAGCCGAATTTGTTCCCTCAGTGTGTGAGATGAGGGAGTATTCAGAAGTTCTCATATCGCCTTTAGTCATCAACAAACTCAGTGTTTGTCCTATTTATGCCCCCTTTCTGTCTTTCCTCCTTTCTCTTCTTTACTTCCCTCTCTCTCTTTCTTTCTCTCTCTCTCTCCATCAGACTTCCTGGCCCCTCGGCGAGGGTGTCCACTGCCGGCAGTGACATCCCTCCAAGAGGCTCGGTCAGTGCTGCTGGGAACCGACGCAGTCAGGGCTTCAGTGACAAGACCAAAGCCAACTCGCACCTGAACAAAGGTAGGCCACATGTACAACCACACACACACACACACACACACACACACGCTGACATGCTTCATTTTGGTCTCGGATGCTTGTAAATACCGTCATTATAACACTGAGATGGTGTGTGTGTGTGTGTGTGTGTGTGTGAGCGAGTGACATTAGAACAGAGACAGTACCCTTGCAGCTCTTAAAAATGTTAAATTGTTGAAGCATTCAGGACAAATTTAAGGTGAATTGTGAATCCTCTGGCTGCTCTTTGTTATCATACTTGAAAATGCAAGTTAGCTCTGTTGCTTTGAGACCAAGAGAAAGTATTACAAACTGTGCCAGAAAATAATGCATAGCCCTCAGCGTCGCACGCTGCACCGAAACAGCTGTGTCCTTTCAAGTGAAAACAACAGAGAATACATGAGCACAAAATCAAGATGTTTTTAGTGAATAAATGGCCTCCTTTAATGTTTCAGTCCTTGTCAATTCAGTTCATTCTGAACGTTGATATTTCACATCATAAGGAGTTTGTTTCTTTAGAGCGTTGCTCTTGACCCTTTTTATGATAAACATTCAGTTGTTGGATGTTGAAGTAAATGTATTCTCTGACTGCACCCTCAGTAACTCTTCCGTGTAAGTAAGTGAAACTCTCAAGTTTTGCCTTTTGAACCTGTGTCCAGTTGCTGTTTTTGGCACATGGTCACTGTATAGAAGGTGAGGTGACAAGCTGTGATTTATTAGACTGTGAGTTAAGATAACCTCTATTCGGCTGTTGCACGCAGACTGTGTCCGTCCTCACAGGTGGAGAGGTTAATGCAGGTGTGACGAGCTGGAGCCCTTTCAGCTCCCATCTGAACCTTTTAGGGCATTTATGCTTGTGTTTTTGAATTTGTTTGAGACTTTGCTCAAAGGTTGCATCCAAAGATCTCTTTCTTATTGTACTAATTCATTGTGATACTTTGTTGTAGCTGCTTGATAGGTCTCGTGTGAAAAGTATTTTTATTACTTGTGTTTCTGAAAATGTTTAGTGTCCTGAATGAAGTCTGGATGAACAGCTCCCTCTCCCTGTTTGGTAAAGTTAAACAATCCAGCAGAATTATTTCAGCTTTGTCTCATAAGCTGCTGTTGCTGAGGCTTGAATTAGCTGTACCAAATGTAGAATGTTTCACTTTAAATCACAGCACAAAAGTTGACCCTGGAAGGGAAGAGATTGAAACTGCTGAGTGTTTTATTAAATTCCTATAACGTGATCTTTACCTTCTGCTTAATATAAATGCTACTTGGGAGTAGTTGCTACTGTAACACAGATGTTGATCTTTTGTGCCGATGATTCAACCAGGAGAGTTTCATCTTCATCCAGGAGCTCCAACTGTCAGTCTCCTCACTTTGTCACAATAACTCCCAGCTTGCACCTCTGTTGAGGTTTCATTCAACAACACAAGATAACATCATTTAAACAGAGCGGGAAAGTCGGATTCACCAGTTCACTCCCCGTCTACTGTTTGAGAATCAAGAATAGACCTGTCTTCTGTCGTATGTTTGCATTGGAGTCGGAACTGTAGCTACTCTCACACTTTTATTCCAAACCTCCCTGACCCAGTTTAACTCATTCTGCCCAGTGTTAGTGCTCTGCAGAATACACACCAAGTGTTTGGCAGTATATTCAGCGAGACCAGTGTTGAAATAGCTTCTGTCCCAACTCAGTGCGCCAAGGCTTTATATAGACTGTGTTAGTGTTCACAGTCTAAACTCATTACCCTGCATTAGACAGAGAATTCTGACCGCCCAGAGAGAGAGAGAGACAGGGTCAGAGAGACATAGAAAGGAAGAGAGAGAGAGTGTGTGTGTGTGTGTGTGTGTGTGTGAGAGAGAGAGAGAGAGAGAGAGAGAAAAAAAGTGTGTTGTCTGTGTTTAAACAGTGACAAATTAACTGAGACCAATGCTGTGAGCGGCACAGTGCAGCACTTATTCTGATGTGCAGCTCCACTGGAGATTGGGGGACTTTGACGTGGACAGTTGTGTGTTTGTGGATGTTAGATTGAAAAGACTGATACCACTCATATGTCTGTATGTTAAATATGAAGCTACAGCTAGCCATTATTCAGCTTAGCTCAGCATAAAAACTGAAAAAAAAAAAAGGCGACACAGCTATCCTGGCTCTGACCTCTAAAAGCTCACAAATTAACAAGTTACGTCTTGTTTGTTTTACCCGTACAAAAACTGAAGTTTAAAAACAACAATTAGTGGTTTGACCAGTGACTTTCTGGAGTTACTGTGTGGTTGCCAGGCAACCAGCGGAGAGTCTATTCTTTGTGCTAAACTAAGCTGCTGGCTGTAGCTTCACATTCATGGTATAGACACGAGAGTGTTATCAATCATGTTGATGCAACTCTGGGCTTGAAATCATATTGATAACATATTTCCCAAAAAGTTGAACTACTCCTTTAATATTAAAAGTGATAGTAGGAGCAGTAATAATAGTAGTAGTAGTTGTAATGGTGTGTGGTAAGTACAGAAAACTTAGTTAAAAAGCTGTTTACATTAACAAAGTTTAACCAACCTATTTACCACCCTGGCATGCAGGTGTGTGTGTGTGTGTGTGTGTGTGTGTGTGTGTGTGTGTGTGTGTGTGTGTGTGTGTGTGTGTGTGTGTTTTAGAGTAGAAGGCCATATGATTGGCAGCAGGTAGGATGGGAATCACTTGTCGACGCTCCTCCTTTTTGCCCTGTTGTTGACATGCTGCCAAGCCCCTCCCCTCTGCCATAGCCCTGCACGACAGTCCTCCTCCTCCTCCTCCTCCTACACTCCCTGGATGGCTGGCCACAGTTTTGGACTCTTTCCTCCTCTCCTGTCCATCTCCTCCTCTCCTTTCCTTCTTTCTCTGTTCCTCCTGGACGTCTGCAGCACCCATGAGGTTTGTCAAAATGCACTTGTAGATCACCAGAACTGGAGGTTGTACTTTCAGATGTATAGCTTGAGCTTTGCATTGAACCTTTGAAAGTATGGTAGCAGATTTGGTCAGTTTTACTGGTTTGTTGTTGTTGTTGTTGTTGTTGTTGTTGTTGTTGCTGCAGCTAGAAATGTGGGCATTTTTAATGCTGCAGAAAGCAGGTTTTTTTCTGTAAGTCCTGTCACGTCAGTTGCTTTTTGTGAAGAAGTAATGAGGTTGTAGGGACTTTTCCTTGCTTATTTGGTCTGAAACTGACACTGTTTTTGAATTTCCTTTGTTTCTAAGGTGTCATTAAAAATCTGACAGCATCTGTCTTATATTACAGTTTAGTTTTTGCCTTCCAAAAGCATGTTGGGACTTGAATGTGCCCCACATTAAGTTACACATTGTTGTGAGACAGTGTTGCAGCAGGTTCAGATGGTCAGAAAGACACCTGCAGCTTCTTTTGTGAGGCCAGATCTGCTCTGTGTCAATGGCTCTGACACCAGAATGGAGTCACGTTACTGCACGGCTGTACAGTGAGGAAACAGACCTGAATCTTCTCTTCTGCTCTGCGTTAACGCAGGGTGACAGCGTCTGGGTGTCCACCAAGTGACACAGAGCAGAGAGACAGGGAGAGCAAGGGGCACCTGTGGTTGTGTGTTTGTGTATGTGCACGCTTCTGTTGACCATGTATTTGTGTGTGTGTGTGTGTGTGTGTGTGTGTGTGTGTGTGTGTGTGTGTGTTTGTATGGCTGGTGCCCTTGCTGAATGAATAGCCTTCTGATGAGCTGTAGCGTCACTATTTGAGTGTATTCATGTGGAGAAACTTTAAAAAGTTTCAGTCTCCACACAAAAGCCGGCTGTCCCTCTCACTTTTTGGAGTACAATGACTGAGGAGAGAGAGAGAGAGTGCGAGAGAAATCAGAACATGATGAGTAAGCAAACACCTGCTGGCTCAAACTTTGTGCCAGTCTGATATAATTTGTGCATGTCTATGAAGGTGTCAGTAATGAAATAAAGCTGACTGATCAGGGAGAACTGTTCTCACAATGCTCCCTCTGTGCAGCACATGGGAGAAATCTTCTCTGCGCCCTGGGTTTTGAAGCAAAACATGTTTTCCGTCTTGCTATACGTGAGTGACTTGTATGTAAGTAGGGCATATTCAGGTCAGCAATTTGGTCGCTGAGTGACGTGAAGGTTTAGCTTAATGTCTTGTGACCAGTGCCATGAGAGGGTTTGGAGTGCTTGTGATGTCTAAACAGTATCAGCCGACACTAATTCTAATACATTTAATGCTTTTTTTTTGGGGTGTGTGTGTGTGTGTGCGCAAGTGATCGAGTATTTGCTCTGGTCACCTGTCCTGCAGTTACACAGAGGTTAAAGTGTTTGAAGTTGCTGAGCAGAACAAACATCCCCCTCTCTCCTAAACTTGACATGCATGCACAGACATGTACACACACTCAGGGAAGAGTGTTGACGCTTGTGTGAAGTTACATGGTTTTCCTCAGCTGTAGACAAGCATTAACACACGCACAGACGCATGAGTGTGACGATCCGTGAAAAGAGCTTTGGGTCCACTTCGGATGATTTCCTAAAATGCCTTGATGTTATCAGGAGGCTCTGAGAGGAGTAGGCAGCTGGGATGACCCTGAGACAGAGTCGGAGAGGGTGAGACAGGTTTTAAGTGCGGTGGTGGTCTATGATCCTATTCCCTTTGGGCACTTCTTAACTGTCATTTTCTGCTCCTGGTTTTATTCTCTAATGACTGCTATAATTAAGCAGTTTGGTTGTAAACAGTGAAATTCTTTCAACATGTTTCCTCAAGGAGACAGCTCGACCAGCACAGTGAAAGAGGGGCAGTGGTGCAGTTTAAATCCGGGATTTGGCCCAAGGCTGCACAGGGGTCATTAGGTCAGTGACCCATTCTTAGGGCATGTTCAAACAATTCTGTGTTTATTTTTGAAGGAAAAGTTCTTCCTCAAGTGCATTTTGTGCTGGTAATGAAAAGCCGGTGTCTCAAAATGCAGCCAGGAAAGAGCCAGATTGATCCATAGTGACAGTTTATGATCAGAGTATTTACTAGCATTTTTCTACTAGGTCTTTATCCATTTGGTTGTGGTTATTGTCATTTATTATGAGGGTGTCTTTTAAATCTTAAAATGTGAACTTTTCCCATCTTGAGGAAGCGTATGGCTGTGCCTAAAAACAAGACATGTGAAGCACTTTTTTTAAAATTAAATCCGTACCCCACCTTGTGGCCATCATTAAATGTAAAAAGTCTGGTTAAATTCTGAAACAGCAGAAAAGTGTGAACACACAATCTAACTTTGGTACTTTTTTCATTTGTGACGTGTTTTAGAAGCGTTGAACCTTGTCTGGAAACTTTGGTTGGGTTTATGATGCAACAGTGTCCAAGTCCATCTCTCTAGTGTCACTTCTGACCCAACACGTTGAAGATTGACCACTTTCCTTCACCCTTGGCAACCCAACTGGAGCGTGTCAGTCCCGGTCACTGGGTCCAGTCACGACAATGACCAGCTGTCCCAGTATCCAGGGCCTCTCCATGTCATGCCTTTCTTCTTGTGTTCCTTTCTGACCCGAAATCCAAACTGACCCCATTCACGGACAGCACAGACTGTCTTGCTGGCCCGCATCAAAGCTTCACTCATCCCAAACTTGCAGTACCAGTCCCCTTATTCTCACTGCCTGCTCCATAATCACAGCAGGTCCCCCTCTCATTCAGCCACCTCCAATAGGATGCCAGCTATTACCAACCTGACCCACTTTTCCGATTGCTAACTGCTAGCACGGCTAATTGGGCTCTAATTACTTCCTAATGGCTGCATTGTTTCAGGCTGCTCTCACTAAATGCTAAGCAGGGGGAGAAAGGAAAGGCGGCGAGCGAGTGCCTATTTCCAATTAGAGCATGAAAGGCGCTGTAAAAATGAAATAAAGTGGAGAGCCAGATGAGAAAGGGGTAAACAAGTGGGTTTAGTGTTTAATATTCTGCGTAAATTCTGACTTAATGAGACCATATGAATAGCATATGAATATGGGATTAATGTAGCCGGTGTGAATTAAAGAAAACTTCACTCATAACCAAATGAGCACTGTGAGAGTTATATGATCATTTTCCTGTGTGAACCAGTGAGAAGACAGAGAGGGCTTCTACATGCACCGTCTTTAGTAATTTTTATATATGTTTAAGCAACAAAAGTCTTATTTTCTTTCTCTTTCTGATACAAATGGACTAATTCTGTGTTCTAATAATGTCACTTCCTCAAATTCTTGAAACTGTTTGATTTGTCCTGGAGGTTGTGACATCCTTCATACTGCTGATCACTTGTATTGACTTATGTCAAAAAGTATAAAGTAAGTAAGAATAACTTACTGGAAAAAGTTTGAAATGTGTTTTGTCAGTTGCCTTAAGAAAACAAAAATGAAGGGTTGTATTAAGACCCTGTAAGAAGCCATAGGTCTAGGCTGACTACAGTTGTATGAGACACAGCACAGCAGCAGCAGTGACTTGGAATAAGTCTGTGTTTGTGTATATGTGTGAATGAGTGTGCGTGTGTGGGGGGATATGTTGCAACGGAACTGTTATGATTAATTCCAACCAGTGCTCCCTGCACAGGCCCTCTCTCTCACTGGCCGTTGGTGTTTGAATATTCAAATATTACTGGTCTGAACTCTGTGCTGCTGGTAGCACCACACTGATATCAACATCAGCAACCCTCAGGATACTCTAGTTCTCACAGTCAGCACAGTGACTTACACCAGGGATTTCAGCTCTTCTCTTGCTCTTTCAGTTCTTTGGTAAGTTTGCTCGCTGAGATGCTGAGTCATTTTTTTTCGCGTTTACCCAGGCAATTTCTATTTGGGTGTTAAATCTGTAACAATGGTTTACTGGAGCATGTTTACACTGCAGAAAATACTTTCCCTTCGGTTCATCTCCAAGTTAAACTGTATTATTACTCTGTTTGTGAATCTAATCTATGAGAGACTGAGTACATGTTACCAGATGTAACTAGACAGTGCTTCTTTGTAAAGCAGAGGGATGCTGACCAAAAGCAGTCCATATAAGTACAAGCCTTATAAGTGCAGCAGCACTGCTTCTTGACTCGGCCTGCTTGGCAAGGCTTTAAAGCACTTGAGCCTGCTCCTCATTGTTTTTATAAACAGTTTGTGATGGACTCCTCATTGTTAGTGCTAAAGGGTTTTTAACAGTTTTGGTGGCTAGCCCAAAGAAAAGTAATGGCACATTTGGCTGTATGAACACAGGCCACCTCCAGGCCCTTATAAGGCCACTTTGTGTGGGGTCAAAGAAGCCTCACCCACAGCATCTGGTTTCTCTTCTCTCTCCCAGATGCTCCCTCTGCTTAACTTTTCCCCTCCTATCTCATTGTATAATAAAATGTCTCTTTTCTGGTGCAGATTCCTCAGAGGGCATGACCTCACAGCCTTCGGTGATGACTGAGCATGCTCTGTCATCTGCAGTAACTGTCAGCTCCTCTACCAGCATCCCCGCTGCTACCTCCGCCCAGATTCCTCCTCCATCTTCGTCGTCCTCATCCTCTTCCACGGCCATTCCCCAGCCCAACAGCAACAGCAAACCTTGGAGGAGCAAGTCTATGAGCTCCAAGAACACCTCCTCTCCTCTATCCTCCACCAGCACTCCCTCGTCTGCCATGCAGTCTGTCAAGGAGAAGGACACCTCCTGTAAGGCCCTGGCAAGTGAAGCTCCTCCTAAGGTTGTCGCTCAGAAGTCAATGCTGGAGAAGCTTAAGCTCTTCAACAGTAAAGGAGGCTCCAAATCTTCCAGCTCGTCCAATGGAGCCGTGGCCCAGGCTGATAACGCTGCCCAAGCCAGGCAACTCGGAGCAGGGCAGGTAGAGAGAGCCGAGACTGGTTCTAACACCGACCCCCTGGAGGAAGATGATGGCAACGTCCGGCCGGGAATGAACGGGACGAGCAATGGGACAGCCTACGGAGCAGCTCCCTCAGCAGGTACTACTGTCACCACAACCGCCAGCAGCCCCAAAATCGCCCTGAGGGGCATTGCCCAGCGCACTTTCAGCAGAGCTTTGACTGCCAAGAAGAGCTCGGTCAAAGGAAGCGAAAAAGAAAAGGACAAGGAGAGGGCGAAGGAGAAGGAGAAAGCGAAGGAGTTAGGGAAGCGCACCTCTGTCCCCGACAGGACAGAGCTCAGGGGGGAGGAGCCTAAGGAGGAAGTAGCACCCGTTGCTGTAGACACAGACAGTTCAAACAAAAGGACCTCTAAAATCACCAGCTTCATTCCCAAGGGAGGTAAAGTGGCCAAAAAGGAGAGTTCCACCCCTGCACACAGCGGAATACCAAAGCCAGGAAGCAAAGCCCCGGGAGTCGGGGGGAAAGCCTCCTCAGTGAAGGAGGCTGGTGAGAGGCCTCGGAGCATGCGGTTAGGAGGGGGTCTCGCCATGCACCGCGGCCCCCTGGACAGAGATAGAGACAGGGACAGCAGACACTCCAGCTCTACTTCCAGTCTGGCCTCCACAGAGGGAAAGAGTAGCGCCGCCCCTGGGGCAGGAGGAGGCACTACACAGAGCACAGCCAGCAACACGGTCAGCGTGCAGCTACCTCAGACTCAACAGCATCACAGCCACCCCAACACGGCCACTGTCGCACCGTTCATGTACAGGTGAGATCACACAGACTCGGGCTGGAGACTATATATCTATTAGGGATGCACCGATCCACATTTCTTTCACTTCCGATCCGATCCCGATACCTGAATTTTGATATTGGCCGATACCGATACTATTCCGATACCAGAGCTCTGTTTGCTTTAATATTATTATTATCATTATTGCTGATTTTATATGAGGCTGAAATAAACTCCTCTCAACAGGCAAGTATGATATGTATGTATGCATGTATGTCCCAAAAGGCAACTTGAAGTAAGTATAAGGTCAGAAAAGGAAGTCAGAAAAACAGGAAATCCTGTTAACAGGGAAAAACCCCATTCTGAAAACAAATATGCAACTGTAAGGGTTTCAAATTGATTGTCATGTCAATATTTATTAAATTCCCAAAATGTCAAATAATTCAAATATAAGAAAAGTGCAATAAGTGTAAACATCTTACACAGACACACACACACACACACACACACACACACACACTAATCCCTTTAGCTTTCCCGTTGTCTGCCTGAAGTTTACCTTGTTTTTGGAATGACTCCAGAAGTGATAGCTGACAGCTCCTTTTGTCTTTCTGCCCCTGCTCGTCTTCTTCTTCATATGGATAGTTTAGACGCTTCACTCTAAGGATAATGTTAGTGCTTCAAATTTTCACATATAGCCCTGTATCGTGTAAGAACTGTAATACTACTTTAACAATCAAGTGGTGGTTCTCATTTTGACCCAGTAATCCTCGTGCTCTTTCGTGTGGTGCTTTTTAAAATGTTTGATTGCGTTCGTAGTGTTGTACGACGCGAGGGAGCTTCCATCTCTCTGAATCACTTTGCTATCTGGCTGCAAACTGCGGAATGGATTTCCTGAGCGGAGGCGTGTCTCATAACTCTGTCTCATTGAGCCACGCCTCCGTTCAGGAAATCCATTCCACAGTTTGCAGCCAGCTAGCAGACTGGCCGGCAGGAATCACTTGTGGAGTCATTTCAGCAGACAACGTTAAAGCGCAGACATGGCTCATGGACATCGGATATCTCCGCAGGTTGGATCGGGAACATCCGATACCTGAATTACGCTGGTATCGGTCCCGATACCGATACTGGAACGGATCGGCCCCATCCGTAATATCTATATCTAGTAGTTCTCTACCACATATCACTAAATATTTGTGACTAAATAAGTTAAATCTAAATTGTTAAAGTTTTCGGCGATTTAGTTGAAAGTTCTCCTTTAAGAATTAGTTTAGCTTTATTAATTGTCTTATCACTATAGAAGCTGAGCTTGCTGGCCACAACACAGCCAGTAAATCATGATTCATAAAACACTGATAACACGTCATTAAACCATTGCACACTGCACATCTGGCTATGACTAAAAGTCATACACACTGAAAGATTTTCCAGAATTGGTATGGTTGAATTCTTCAGTGACTACTGTTTAAAGTGGACAAATATTTACTGGAGTGTATTTGTTCAGTCGTAGACCTGATAACAGTTCTGGGTATGCTGTTCTGGTCTATGTAAGCTTTTAAATAACTACAAATTGGTGTATAACCCTCTAATATAACTGTGATAGAATTGTACAAGTCAAAGTCTTCACATATCTGATTCTCTGACGGCATCTTAAAGTAAAAAATTAAAAAATAAAATAAAATCTAAAAAATAGCCATCTGTGGGCTGTTAACCAGGAATGTCACATCTGTGTATGTTCATGTGTGTGTATGCAGAGGGTATTGTCTTCATGTGTGTGCACACATTTCTGGGCAAATATGTGTGGATGTTGTGTGCCTCTGACCTCTGTACTGGTCCCAGTGTGATAAGGAAGGAGGTCCCTCTCGTTCTCAATGAGTCCTTTCTAACAGCCACTCATTAGCCTCCTGACACTTCCTGCACTGCTGCCCTTTCTCCCTCTGTACATCCTGACCTGTAGCTAACCAACCCACATCTCCAAAACACCCCCATTCTCAGTACTCAGAAACTTCCTTTTTTGCTGTATACCTGTCAGGTACCATTACCAGCAGGATTATACCACCTCCACCTGTCAGAAAGAGTATGTTTTGACAGAAAATGAAAGAAATAAGACTCTGATGAGATATCTAAACTGACTTTGTCCCTGACCTACCCACCTAGGACTGCACCCTGCCAGAAATAATAAAGGTTATAAATAATAATGTATAACCTGAAGTATCAACCAATCATAGATCAGTTAACCGGAAGTTTAAAAAAAGTTTAGATGCTGTCATTTTTTCTGGAACTGTAAGCGACAGTCAGTGGTTTTGACTGACTCACACTCAGAGAGAGTGTACAGTAGTCAACAAGGACAAAGTCTAGGATCAGGCAAAGACCAAAGGCTGCATATAACCGAGGCATTCGAACGTCATCGTCTCAAAAAGCACCAGCCAGTGCAGGAACTGTATTGATTTATCCTTCAAAGACAACCTTTATAGGCATTTGGGGCTTAGCAGGCGTTCATTTTGGACCCAAGTCACAAGACTTGAAACACAGCAGATTTAATTCTTAATCAGGTTTATCCCTCTTTCGTGACAATTTGCTGAATATTAGGTTTGCACTAAATGCACAATAATTCAGAATCGATGATATCCCCCCTTTGATCCCTTGCACAATTTGTATTACCAGATCCCAAGCAGACTGCGACGGAATAGGCAACCCTGAGACCGGCTCAGGAGGAATTGGTGGAGACATTTCCTTCACCAAGACCAGTCAGCTCTCCATCGAGGACCTTTCAGGTGGGTGATCACTCACAATGCAGGGTCTCTGTTCAGAATAGATGAGTTATGTTTTATTGTGCTTGTAAATATTTCTGAGCTTGTTTTTTTTTTTTTTTTTGCCTTGCTCAGCTGAAGACCCAGAGACGAGGCGGTTGCGTACTGTCAAAAACATAGCAGACCTGCGGCAAAACCTGGAGGAGACCATGTCCAGCTTGCGAGGAACTCAGGTCACACACAGGTAAAAATCAAATACATTCATTCTCTCAGCTAGTTTTAACTGGTAGTGATTGATGATTCAATGCTACACCCCAACTGACACCACTTACTCTGCTTTTGAGGAATTGTTTGAAGTAAATAGTAATTTAACAAGCCTCTTTTACTTCTTTATTATATCTTAAATTTATTGTGATTACATTTATTTTTATACCCAAAGAGAATATGGGAAAAGTTAAAAAGCAAAGTAACACAATATTTTTCTAAATCATTTTCTGTTCACCTCGTCGCTTCAGCACTGCTCCTAAAGAAGTTTAGAAACTGTGTTGCAGTGGAAAACAAAACTCTACTGTTTGGGGATCATCAAAGTGTAGCGCCTTACAATGGCTGCTGCGGCTGAGTGGTAAACAGGCCAAATCAGGATAAATGTTGGGGATTTGAGTCAGTGACCGAACTGCCTCATGGTCAGCAGACTGTGTCTGTCTAGGCTTACAGGTATTACCTCTCATTGCTGTCTCATCCTTCTTTTGAGGGATCTTTTTCTTTGATCGCAGGGCATGTCTTTCATGTCGTCTTTGATTCAGGTTTAGCTCTAATCACGTTCCCTCCCACAGATTTTTGACCTCTGCTCTGGTCTCGCGTCTCAGTGCTGACCAAGCTGTCTAGGTCTGTTGTAAGGTTCATATCCTCTGTTTTTATGCTTTAGACCGTAACAAAGGATCTCTTATCTTTACTTTTTCCCTCTCTGTTCACCAAGAAGATCATGCCTTTTTCCACTACTTGTTTGGCAGTTGTTTGCCTCTACTATAGTCTGTGCTGTATCTCAAAAGTGAACAGATTTCTGTGAAATTTGGTGAATTAATTCAAGAAACAAGAAACGATTGATCTGGTTTTGGTGGTGATCCAGATGCATGTTCCTCACTATAAGACAATTATAGAGAATCATTGGAGATTTTATCTATACTGTAACTATGAAAGTACCTCAGCTCAGTTTATTCTCTGAGCTGTGTCATGGCTTTCTCTACGACTGCAAATTAGGTAAAATAATCAATAAACATTAAAAATGTAGATGTAATTTTTGTGCGTCACCTTGTGTGTTAAAATACCTGTAAATCAGTTTTGAATGATGGTTCCCGTCTTGTTTTTATGCTATTTGGTAATTGGGTTTTCCTTTTGTTTACATGTGGATCACAGATTGTGTCTTTATTCTCTCCTCTATGTCTCCTTCTCTACCTGCTCAGCACCTTGGAAACCACCTTCGATGGCAGCGTCACCACCGACATCAGCAGTGGCGGAGGTGGCGGAAGCGCCAGCAACAACAGTGGAGGGGGTCGGAGCATCCTCAGCCTCACTTCTACCCGACCTTCCCTGGCATCATGGCGACTGGGCCAGTCCAGCCCTCGCCTGCAGGCGGGCGATGCCCCCTCTATGGGGAACAGTTACGGCGGCCGGGCGGTTGGCAGCCAGGGAGGACGCTACCTGTACCCTGGGCACCTCCGACGGCAGCTGGCTGGTAGGGGAGGAGCCCTCTGCAGCGTGGACCTCGGAGACAGAGCCGGGGAGGACGTTGACCTGGACAGCATGTCTGTGGAGGTCACTGGATACATGAGCGACGGAGACGTGCTGAGCAAGAACGCTACGCGCGCTGATGATGTCACCAGCGGGTAAGTGGATTCCAATTTTTTTTATTTTTTTTAATCCAACAAGCAGGTTTTGAAATGGATAAAGCTGGAACAATAGTGGATGAATCGCCACATTGATTCACAAAGAGTTTCTCAACAGCAGTTTTGTTCATTTATCAAGTAAAAATTCCAAACATTTTCTGGTTCCATCTTCTCCAAGGTGAGGATTTGCTTCTTCTCTCTGTGTTTTCTCATTATAAGCAGAATGCCTTTTAGTTTTTGATGGTTGGTTGGACAAAACAAGCAATTTGAAGATGTTACATGCGCTGATTTTATACACTAAACAATTAATAAATGAATACAAACATATAAATAGACGAATCTAATGAAAATGATCAGTAGCTGCAGCCCTGGAAATGACGCCCTTTTGTGGTACGAGTGTGCGAGACACTCAGCACATTATCTGATTATTTTTAATGATTGTAACAGCCCTAAAAGGCTCCTCTTGAGCTCCATTGTACCTTGTGATGTGTTTAAGAAAGCCCGTTAACACAGTACCTGATTCTGTATTCAATCATCAAAAGCCATCTACAAGGTGACAGACACTATTTTTATGATAAATGTATAGTTTGTAAGTTGGCCAGGAAGAAATATTACTAGTAGAATCTATTTATTTTGACATCCCTTGGTAGGCAAACCAAAAACTGTATTTCAGACACTTGCCTATACATTTTCTTTACATTCTACCCTAATACTGGCATAGCAGTTTGTACTAACACAAGAAAACCATGTGAGAAAGCATCAGCAGCTTAAATCCATCCTAAACACGTTGTTATGGTTCATCATAACATTGGAAGTGATCATTCAAAACAAACTGACAGTAAATTATTTCTTATCAAACAAGGATGAAAAAGAGAAATAGCTGTATAAATGTGATTAATGTAACCTTATAGGCTGTGAGTTTTGCCAGAAGAGGGCAGTAGTGTTCCTTGCTCACTAGTGATCCAAGTGCCAGATGATATCCCGCAGTTTAGCCTCAGTGGCATAAGCAACATTTATTCTGTATCGCTCGGATCCCACCAGTATCCCATCTCTCTGTCTGCAGACGCAGTAATGCTGATATGCTGATAACCTGTTTATTTGCTCTCTCAAACCCACTGTCCATGTTGTAACAGGCCCCTTGCATACCTTGGCTGCCACACTGTGCAATTTAAACCTCTGCTGTCATCATTATTATCAGATGAAGTTGTAAAAGGCGCCAACTTGCCTCCATATGGTATCGAAAAGCCAGAGACAGAGAGACCAGGGTCTGGTAAAAGCTGCTTCGGGGATTAGTTTGAATTAAAATAAATGCAAATGTAGAAAGAAGTCCTTGAGCTCAGCAAAGTAAGGTGATAAAAAAACACAAAGGGAATTACTTCCTCTGGCCCTCATGGATTTGCACTTCACCAGCCCCGAGGCAGCTGTAGAAGTTGAGGGAGCTAAGTGTTCTTGAAGTACTTGATACGTCTGAATCTGTGGCTAAGCAGACAAAGGACAAGCCACAGCCACACCTGGACAGGTGAGTGATGTGATCGAGGGAGCAGAGATATTTGCTCACTCTGAAAACTTGATATCCAGGCTAGGTCTGACCTATTAGGAAGGCAAGGCAAAATACAAACAACGTTCCTCAAAGAATTTTGTGATCTGATATCGTCTGGGCTGCAGTTACCGTTTATTTTCATCATGAACTTTTCATTCTTGAATGAATTGATACAATAGTCTTTAAAATGTAAGACGTTTTGGGAAATGCCTATCAACAATGGGTGAACCATTTGAAACAGACACAGACTGATGACCTCCCCCAACCCCTCTCCGCATCCTCAGGCCATTTAGAGGTTAGCTTCATCACAGGCCTGTTAGCATCCACTAACTGGTTCTTCCACACAGGGGTGGGATGTTTACCCAGAGAGGAGGGGCTAGTATTTAGATTACAGCACTATAGACTGTCACAGTTCTACTCTTGTTACCACTTAAATGTCAATTAAGGGATCAGTTCACACAAATCACAAAAGAAAGGACATGTGTTTTCTCCTCTACTGGTATCTGGTCATACAGATACTTCTGGTTTTATTTGTTCAGATTTTGTCTGAAATGTAGGCTTCCATCTCAGTACAATGGAGGTGAGTGGAATTTATTTTGTGCTGCTCAAAGCAATGAAAAATGACACTGAATGTCAATGAAAAGGCACCAACTCTTTCCAGAATGTCCCTGTGACAAGACACAGAAATAAATAGTCCACATCAATCTTTCAGATGTCCTGATAGAGACAGTTTTAAATACCGTTAGCAAAACAAGTTAAATTCACTTCACATATGTTTTTTTTTTTTTACTTTTAACTCGCAGAACAACACACAGCCAGAGATTACTGACATCTCCGATTAATCAAATATCAATAATAAAAACAATCGTTCAGCTCTAGACATTTAGAAGCAGCCCAACTGTAAAAAGAGATTACTGGATCAGCATTTATCTGTCTTGATAGTTTAATTTATTTAATGCTACAACACAGACAACATGACTGATGACACCACATTTAGTATCTACATCCAGTCTCCAACCCCCTCCTTTATTTTTCCTTTCGGCTTCTCTGGCCCTTGGAGACAAGGGACCCCTCCCCTCCCCACCCTCCACCTCCTCAGCCCGGGGGTATGTTGCCCGATCTACCCCTCTGCCCTCCCCCCCTTCCTCCCCCTTCCCTCCCATCCCTCCTCCACCTTTCGCAGACAGACCCAACCTCCAGCCAGGAGGGAAACGCATGTGGAGCTGAAGAGAGAGGCTGCATACCAACACTGAGCTCCCACAGAGCAACACACACATTCAGGCTACACACAATCCATACATGGAGAGTTCAGTGATATTGTTCACCCTCTTCTGATATCACCATGATCAAATACACTCTCACCTGGTGATATTCACACAACAACAGATCCCGCACACAGGTTCAGACCTGATAACAGACAGTAGCCAGACAGTTGAAAACGGACACCTTTGCTTTGGAGGTTTCTATCAGGGATCAGCCCTCACCTGGACTTGTTTATTTTGCTTTGGAACTAACTGTGTTACCATGTTTGAGGCAGAAAGGTAAGTTTTTAAAACCATCAACAGAATTAAGAAGCTCTAGAGGCCATTGTTTGTTTTTTGCTGAGCGTGACATTTTGTGAATTTCCTCCTGTCAGTAGCACTAGTGCATGCATTCTTAGTAAGTCAAATATTTCTGCAGTTTCATTTACACAGGAACTTTTGCTTCTGTTACATGCACGGCTGTGTAAACTCTACCTGGCTGCTTGGTTTCAGCACTTAAAGTGTCTTGTTTGGACACGTTTCTCCTGCTGCTGAAGGTTACAGGTTAACAGGTATCTGAAACAGGAGGACAGGGAGGTTCAGTTACTCATTAGTGTGACGGAGTGATGTGGGTGCGTGTGTGTCTGTGTGTCTGTGTGTCTGTGTGTGTGTGTGTGCGCCCAGCCATCTTCAAGGTGACTTTGGGTTGGGATGATGGATGCCTCCCATAAAGGACTGCTAACCCCCCTCTGTGTAGATTCTCTGTCAGAGTTGAACTGTCTTCATTGTCTGTTGTCTCTCTTGTTTTTGTGAAAATCTGTGACTCATTGTTTTCATTCAATCTGTCTGATTGAATGTGTAAATAGATATTTGTCTGACATTTGGTGGTCCATGGATTATTTCCTTTAACTTCAGTGGTGGTAAGGATTTATAATTCTCTATAGCATTAGGCAGGTTAATTCATACCGGCTTAAAAACAGTAATAAATATAGCACAAGACATAAAAAATAAAATAAAGAAACCATTTTAGTAATTTCTGATGAATAGTTAGGGTTCATAAAGGCAGCTGAGAATATAGAAGTCCTGTTTCTTCTTGAGGTTTGTTCCAGCTCTTCGGTGCATGGTAACAAAATGCTGAATCTCCATGTTTAGTTTGGACTCTTGGTAATGGTTAGCTGAACGTTACCAGATGACCTGACAGAGTAGCCACAGCCTTTATACTGCATTCATGTTCTGGTGAGAATATCTGGCACTTTCAGGTTAGCTGCTAAAGTGGAGTTTTTCTTCACATCTAACCACAGTGAATCGTCACCCATCACTGCAGTTCCCCTCTGCGCTACATACCTCTTTTAGCTCATTGTTTTGGTTTTGACCAAACAAGACTTAAAGGAGAGTGAATAGTCATCTGACATTCATCAGATGGACACAAACATGACTCCAAATGAATGCTAATGTCGCTCTGCATCTGCTGGATGTGAAGTGTACATTCACAATAGCTTTATAAGGCGAAGATGTGTCATATTCAGCTTCTTTGTGGCCACAAAAATTTCAATTAATGCAGCTTTGAAATTAATTAATTTATAATCATAGTTTCATCATTAAACATTATAAATGCTGCAGTTTGTTCTGTGCAGGCTCGCTCTCTGCTGAGTGACTCGTGGTTGCCGTTAAGTTTCTGTCCCACAGCTCAGATGCTGATTCTGTCTGACTGCAGGTTACACAAAGGAGCTCTGTCTATAGGGAACACTGTACTCTGTGTATACTGTATTTACATGAAGGTATAAATGTGTGTTTGTGTGTGTGTGTTTGTGTGTGTGTGTGTGCAGGGTTCTCTCTTGCTGAGATCCACATAGAGATAACACAGAAAGTGTTTTAGTGGTCGCGTTCTTGATGGGCTTATTTTTCTACTCACTTAACTGCAGAAGCCGAGTCATCACAGTCCCACACAGAAAGCATTCACCATTTGAACGGTCCCGACTCAACTTTAAATCAGCAAACATTTCATTAAATTACATGTGGGTTAAATGAGTCAATATTTAGTTCCATTAGGAATCTCCTCCATGGGCAAATATTTGGGGAATTAGTTAGTGTTGTTTTAGTTTGAATGGGAATGTTTGTGTAAGTGTTCAGGGATTCAGCATCAGCTTCAGACTGTTACTGCTGCTAACGGTCAGACTCTGACTCCAACAACCAATAAATCAAGTCCCTTCGAATGTAATTTTCCGTTATGAAATGAAGTGAATGGCCTACTTAGCCTGCACTTATATGTACTGTGTATTTTTAGCTTCTCTTAATGTTCAGCTTCTCAGTCAATCGTAATATCCCAGCCCGGAGTGGATGATGTCGGTGATGAATGGCGATATAAGAATAAAGGACAGACTTATCCTCTGTCTACTGAGCTGCCACTGCTTTTACAGACCACTGTTGTTTACCACTGGCCACATGAGAGAAATGTGTCTTCAGCTAGATAGTTTGGTCTCGTCAGTGTTTGTGTGGGAGCTTATTGCCAACTGCATGGCCCTGATTGATGAGAGCTTTGCCTCGGCCGGAAAACTGGATGGATGTGGGCTCCTCCTGCTCTATATACAACAAAAGCAGCTCTGAGAAGAAGAACAGAGTGTCAGGCCAAAGTCTTAGACAAAGTGTGGTACTGCACAACTCATCCCTTCTGAGCCCTTTAATTGTGTATCTTAGAGTTGCTTCATGGTGACAATATCTAATGTGCTTTGTTTTGTTTTTGCAGCTACATGACTGACGGAGGTTTGGGTCTGTACACGCGGCGCCTGAACCGCATGCCCGACAGCATGGCCGCCGTCCGAGAGACTCTCCATCGAAAGACGTCGTCAGGACAGGGAGATGCCGACAGGTAAGTCTGAAACATCTTAAAGGGAAATTCCACCCACTTACACTTTGATGTTGATCCATTCGTGAAGCAGTATTGCAGTTTACTTTTGGGATAACCAGCTCCCCTCAGCCAACTTCCCCTTGTGGTCTGCACTAAGATTAAAAATAGTATTTTTTTCACATCTGTTGCATCTTTATTCTTTTGTTATGCTGAAGAGTAACACACACAAATGTTTCACATGGCAAACAGCAAATGTGAATTTCAAAAGTCTGTTATGCACCAAGTGTAAACCAGTTTACCTTCTGTTGGAAAGGCAATTTTTGGTGATGATTCTATTTATTAGACTACAACTACCTACATTTCCCAGAATGCCTTTGTACACCTTCTATTGAACATGCTGAACTTGATGTGTATGCTCGTTTGTAGATATGTCCTGTGGTTATAATGTTGTGGTGTGTTGCACAGTGCAGCGTAGGTCGTCTTGATTCTTTGTAAGTTGAAAATACTTATTTGGTGTCATTGGCCTTGGTTGAAATACTTGTGGTTAGAATTGTGAAATTTTCTTGTCCATGGGGTTTAAAATGTTGAGTTCATGAGTTTAGATGGGAAAAATGGTCTTGAGACTAGAAAAATGTAGAGACAACATTGGTTAAAATAGTTTCTGTTCTGTCAGATTGTCTTGAAATGGTTGACTGAAAAACAGCATAATTATCATATCATGTCTATTGGTCAAGATCCCCTCCAGAAATGTATTAAGACATATATAAATGATTGGCTGGGAACAAAAAAAAGTACAATTTCCCCATTAAAATCCTTAAAATAGCATCAACCCCTTCTACCAGAATCTATAAATTTGCAAATTTTGTTCATTTCGAAAGTATTCCTGACACAAGATGTCTCCTACTGTAAAATCCTTTCTCAGTATATGTGCACTGGTGGCTTCAAGTTTCTACAAAACACTTGTCTTAATTGCATCCTGGACCAGGATTAACTTCCAATCTATTTGAGATGTCACATATCATGTTTGTAGATTCAAATCAGATTTTCAATGAGCACACTTTGAGCAGATGAATGTGAAAACATCCCTCTTGTGTCAAACTCTGCATGTACACCATTCTGCTCAGTGAAGCTCAAACATCCAACCGTAGGAACAAGAAGAAAAAAAACTTATTTTTGAGTGGAAGGGGACTTTAATGTTAACAGGATGCACTGGAAAATGTGAATGAAAACATCTTGCTTTAATCAAATGCATGAAATCAGGAAAAAACACATAAAGCATTGCACAATTTTAGGGTGTATTTGTCTTTTGAGGCATTAACTGATGCACAATGTGTTACACAGAATGATATTGCACAAGACTTATACCACTACACAGGATGATGATGATGTAACTGAGCTTTGGGCAATACACTGCTGATGTACCAACGGATCCTAAATGTTGGACAATATCAGGGAGACACGTGTATTTCTGTTGGTGTTACCAGGATGTATTGGCTTCAGCACTTGGTAAAGTGAGAAGATTGACTTGGGTATTTGTGTATCTGTGGGACTTTCCAGAGCGCCCCGTGTAAGGGGGAGTAATTTGGTGTGATGCAGCGGTCTTTGTCCTGTCACAGAGATGGAGAGGGATTTGGTTCCTGGCTAATTGACAGACGGAAATGGATGAAGGCCAGAGCACAGCCCCTACCATGCAAGAGAAGGATGGGGGATAGACAGAACAGAAAGTAGAGGGGGAGGGAATAAGCTTGATATGAAGATGGACTGCAGATTGGTTGGAAAAATGAATGAATGAGGGATAAACTGGGTGAGACAAAGGCCAGGCTAAAATATGTGGAAGTGGATTGACTCCTCAGTTTATATCCAGCTATCATCAACCAGTTTCTTTGTTCTTTAGGACTACAAATGATCAATTCTTCTAAACAAAAGCTTTGTAATGACTCACTGATGTGTTACACAGACAGACATGCTGTACTAGTCTTAAGTGCTTCAAGCAGCCTTTTCCGTAAATCCTCAGGTGTGGCTAATTTCCTGTCCTCCAGACTTTTGACCTTTGCTCTCTCGCTGCCTTTTACCCTGTATGCACACATACACACACACACACACACACACATACACACACAGTCCTTCACATTAATCTCCCCCAGCCCTTAGGTGGGACTTAACACAAACTGTCCCTCTCCTCACCTTTCATCTCTCTCTTCTCACCCTTTTACCATGCAGGACTCTGTCTCTCCTCTCACCTTTCATTTCCCTCTTGCTTGTTTTGATTAGAGACTGTAGCGAGTAGAAGAGACTGGAAAGCAATTAAATGATAAAAGTTGGGGGATTTCTCTCTTTTTTTGTTTTGTTTGATTTTGTGCTTTCATGTTCCTCTGTGAGGTTTAATTGACCAAGTTAGCAGATGTGATGTTTCTCCAGAAACTTCGCATTTCTTCTTTCATGATCTTCACACGGCTTCATTATTGCTTTCATTAGATTAGAGAGAAGGGGTAAGAGAGGGTTCTAAAATTAAGAGGGGATGAGTTGACTCCCCCTCCTCCCAACCGCACCTCCTCCCCCCTGAAGGAATGTGTGATAAATGTGCTTACTGCTTTTAGTTTTGGATTAATTAGGAGATATGAGGGTAGCGGCAGATAAAATTCATTAGCATAACAAACGGAAGCCAGTGGAGCTGGAGGGTGAGGAAGGGTGACTGGTTTTCTGCTGTAAAAGATGAGGCTAATTTAATACATGAGAGAGAGGTTAATGGTGCAGTTTGGGCAGGTGGAGGAGGGTGAGCACCTTTCTCTGCATGCGTTTCCAACATTTTGTGTCACCGTAGAAGGTCTGAGGTGTGTGCGGCCAGTATTTGCTCACTGGGTGTGTGACCCATCTATAAACCTGTTATAGTTCAAATGACTTTTTTTACTTCTTGCCTCTCAGCGCTGGTGTGGAAGTAGCGGTGTGGGGGGGGGTTGGGGAAAGGTGTTGGGTGTCACCGTGGCATTGGGGCAAAAACCTTGTGACCCCTGGACGAAGAGGTCACAAGCTTCAAAGGGTCGAGGTTCACCGTTCCAGAACCTGTTTAGCTTTCACACTAAAACCAGATCACTAATGAGGGGCATAAAGGATGTAAGTATCACCACTTATTCAGACAAGAAGAAACCAGTTAAAGTCTCATCAGCTGAGTTGGTGACTGATGAGTGCTGCTGATATTCAGCCCCGGTTGGAAGTGCAAAAACTAGTTTGACCAACTGTCACATGTATGTAAAGCAGAACGTGGAAGCCAGTAGAGCGTCACAGTGAGTCACTGGACGACAGGACCTGCGAGTCTGAGTAAACAGGCAGAGACAATAGAGACTAGAAACTGTGCGTGTGTGAGAGAGAGAGCATGCTTATCCCTGTCATTTATCTCTGTGGCAGGAGAAAGAGGAAGCAATCTATAACCGTCTGTCTTCTGATTTGAATTCCCTTTGTTAAAGCAGACAAAGGAGAGGTCTTTGTGGTGTGAAATCGCTGTAGCGGTGAGTGTTAGAGAGGACCCCCCCCCCCCCTTTCCCTTCTTGCTGAGGCGTTGAAGATATAATTTCTCTTTTCCAAACGCGAACGTGACACAAAGAAAAGGAGAGAGCACCACATAAACCACTCAGTTTGAGGCTGATGACAGATGCTTTCACATGAAAACGTACATAAATCTGCAGTTGCAGGGTGATAAAGGATCCTGCTAATGCTTTAGACATTTGTGCGAATGGTCTATTTCCCTCATCTGTCTTGCTGGTGTCCGCACACAGTCAGTCCTGGCAGGATCAGGACTCATTCTCCTGTTTCAGAAGAAACTAATGGCAGCATTTATGTGGAGTATGAAAAAAAAAAAAGAGCAAAATGATCTGTTACAGAAAACTTAAGTCTTTATTTGGTTTGGTCAATGTGTAGCACTGAAAATGGAAAAAAACAACTTAAGGTGACAGACGGGATCATGGGACGCTTCTTAAAAAGTACAACCGCTGTTACAATAGCCTCATTATCAAGAGGTCTGACAATAAGCACTTTGACATGAGAGGTTTTTAAATCAACATGAGACACCAAAGAGTCCAAATCATCTGTACCAGAGTTGTTGGTGCAACAGATTAAAGAAAGAAAACGCTAAACTTAATCTCATGAAACATACTGCAGACATAAGACAGACACACTGCGTTGGCAAAGAGGAGCAGTGGTCACAAGCTGGAATTAGTGGTTTTTGTTCACCTTTTGTAGCTGATCTACGGACATCATGTGATTCTTCTTTCAGCATAAACAACAGGACACTCTTGTTCCACTGACACACACACTATTCCATCAGCAGGTGCCTGTTAAAAGACTGTCACAGCTGTCACTCACTCTAATACCTTCCATTGTCCTTCTTCATCTTTTAAGTGTAGATTTAACACCTTTTGTAAACTACTTGGTATTTCGAAAGGTACCTCACAAATAAACTTGAATTAACTTGCCTTTGAGGTACTAAACCTGTAAACACTAGTCATTGAAGTCTGTTCAGACCAGTGTTAACACTGCATATAAAAACCCAGTCTCTGCATTTATTTTCAGAGACGCTCTTGCAAGAAAACGCAAGGTGTGAACCTGGTAAAACTTTTCCAACAGCGCAATGCGACGTCATTCGCCAACCCACTGCATAGGCCAGTCCAATGAATGCAAACATGCATTCCTGGTGGATTACTTTGCAATGTGAATTGCGTAATTCTACTGTCATAACTTGTAGTTGAAGTTGTAAAGTGCAAACTTTTGGCATATGATGAACTCAGACTCATGGATCTATTACTTATCTCTCTGGATTGTATTTTATCTCCTTACCGGTTCTTACAAACCGCCTTCACTTCAGTTGTGTGTCAATGTCCCATTTGTCCCATGATTAAGCAAAGTTTCAAGGCATTTTTCCCCCGCAAAGTACTTGAATTCCAAAGTCATTATTTCAGCCGTAATTATTAACACATGTAACTTGTGTTGAGACTAACCGTAGATGACCCGTTACTTTTAAAGTTTACATT